TGCTCTGCTGCGATCGAGATTCTCCCTACAACTGATAAACAACCGCAGAAAGCCACCGAAAACGGATGCCCGCAATACACTATTGGCAACGGCTGCAATTCCGACCTTCAAGGCGGAACTGTTAGATTGCTTCTCAGCTCAACCACCAGCCGGAGGACTCAGTGAACACTGAGACCTGATCCCCCGACCTCGGTCACTCTGTAGGACGCTCGAAAAGCCAGCCCTTCGGATTCGAAATTCGAAAAAGCGCGCAAATCCCTTAAACGCCAGCTCATCAAGAGTTTGAGGAATGCCCGCGAGAAGTTGTGAGTAGGGAAGTGTGGAGAGATGGAGAAGGTTGCGGTTATTGGTAATAGTCGCAATCTTCTTCGTTTAATTACGAGTGAGGGACAAAGGAGAGTAGGCGTAAATGAGGTAATTAAGGAGTCTAACGGCACACTGATTCAAAACAAAAAAAACATTTTGAACTGTAGGCTGAACATTTTAAGGCACAGTTCAGCTGATCTCAGTCAACACAAGATCTCCCAGCTTCAACTGTGCAAATATTGACAATTTACATCAGTCCTCCAGCTGAAATGGAGGTTACCCGAGAAACAAATTGTCTCAAACGGCATAAAACTTCCGGTCCCGACGGGCTGTCCCCATCGGTTTTCAAGGATGGAGGTTCAGCCTTGGTTTCGGAGTTAACAAAACTCCCGGGTTCAGTGTGCGAGAGGGAAGAGGTTACAACGGAATTGTGTGAATCGGTGATCACACCGATTTACAAGAAAGATGATAAATCCTCTTGTGAAAACCACAGAGGAATTAGTCTAATCAACATCGTCTCTAAACTTCTCGCTGGTTTTACACACCATCGGTTATATGCTGCACGCGAAGAGTGCACACATGAGAACCAGGCTGGTTTTAGACCTGGTCGAGGTTCTATCGACCGGATCTTTACTCTTCGTCAAATTCTAGAACATGGGCACTCCTTTCATAGACCCACCATTTCTGTCTTCCTCGATCTAAAAAGCGGCTTTTGACTCAACGGACCGCTCCAAACTCTGGCGCTGCCTCGCTCTAAAGGGTGTACCCGAGAATTTCATTTCAATATTACAATCCCTTCATACTAATAGCCGAAGCCGAGATCTAGCTTACGGTACTTTTTCATCGAAAATCACAACACAAACTGGTGTTCGACATGGTTAACAACTGTCTCCGTTTCTATTTAACTTCGTAACAGATTTAATTCTTGAAACAATCCCATCCTCAATCGAGAACAGTGATATCGGTTTACTCCCAGGTGGAAGACTGTCTGCTCTAGAGTACGCATACGACATTGTGCTGCAAAGTGAAGATCCAGTTAAGTTGCAAGCTTTTTTGGGATAGTGTGAGTGCTAGTGTAGCCATGTTCCGTATGCGTTTGCACCTTCAAAATGTAAAATGTTACCTCGAGACTGGGTTGTTCTAGCCTCCGACCTCACTCCAACAGGGAAAGTAGATGATGCAGAAAGGTTTTGGGCAGCTATATCCTACCTGGCGGATACACCACAAATGAAGTTTTGGTGCGCATACAAAAGGCTCAGTTGGCATTTGCCAACTTGAGACATCTGTGGCGACGTCGCGATATCCGGTTGTCTGTGAAGGGTCGAGTGTATGCTGCAGCAGTTCGGCCAGTCCTCCTCTACGGTGCAGACTTGGCCATTACGAGAATATGATGAAAATAGATTATCGCTGTTTGAACACCGCTGTTTACTCCTCACTGAGCAATGCTGAGGTCAGGCGTAGAGTTTCTAGTCGTGGTCGTCCACTAGAGCAAGTAGTCGACCTCCATCGATTACGTTGGTTGGGGCATGTGTTACGCATGTGACCAGATAGTTTGCCACGGAGAGCGATGTTTCCCGGGGCAGGGCATAGTTGAAAAAAAGTTAAGGGCGCTCAAACGAAGACCTGGTATGAGGGTATGAAAACCCTAACCAGGAGCCTGGCTCCCATAGGACCCTTTAGGCTCCCTGGCTGGGACCCCGAGATCATGGTAACCGGCGATTAGAGATACTGAGTGATATAACTGAGTGTAACAAACAGTGGCGCTCATGCATCTACTCATTATACTCTTAACACAGTTCTATATGAACTCCCTACCTTCCGCATGGGTTTGCTTTCAACAATCCAATCTTCATTCTGTTTTTTTTATCCCAATGGGCAACCAAAAGACAGCAACCAAACAGGGTGCACGGAGCTGTATGGCTTATGGCTGAACAAACTGAAAACTGAACTGTGTTGTGAACAACCAGAGAGAAATGTTGGTAAACTGCACACTGTGCGGATAATGTCGCACAAACAAAAGACAAATGGGAACTCACGAGGTGTAGTGAGGATACTGGCAGTGATAATGATGGAGGAGATGGCTGCAATCACAATGAGAGCCAAGAGAATCCCGCGCCAGTTTCTTTTCTGAGGGTTGTTGGCCAACAATTCCTGTGCGATAGAAGAAGAAAGCATAATGGAAATGTTCTAGTTATATCAGAAGAAATATAAAGTGTACGTTGGTGAGAAAATAAACATTCTTGGGTGCTTCCTCCACGTTTCCAAATCATAAAAGAATCCTATACAAAATCTGAGCTAAATTATCATTACGAAAAAGTTACTTTCTGCTGTTTTGCGACGGGTCACTTCGTATATTCTCAGAGAATATCAAAGAACGAAGGGATTGCAAACAGAAGCCGTTGTTCACGATAAGACGTCACATAAGTAAAGTGTCCGAGTGCAGCTGGTATCAGTTGTTAAGGAAATCCCTTGCTCTCCGCGTACCTGGCTTGGGTCACACACTGATAGCTTGGACGAGCTACATACAGTCACAAAGATGGCTGAGGAAAGCAAAATCTACTCGCGAACACCATTTTAGCATAAAAATAATGCCTAATCATCCAATTTCGGAGGACTTAGGTATCAGCGAATGATAAAACCACTAAACATCCGTTCAGCTTCTTAGACAGTGGCACGATAAAGGTTTCTGTGTTCCGAACAATGAGAGGATAAAATGGAACAACATAGGTGACCGTCACCTAGGTCTGGAGACCATAATCAGTTTGAAGAAACCATTTGAGAACTGAGTCTCAGCAGTTGTCACAAACATCACACGCGGTGTGAAACAATTGCCACAGGAAACACAGCTCAGCATCTGCTAAAGGAAAACACGAAGTAAATGGGTAAATCACGGTTGTCAACTTGGGAGTACAGCTGGAACATCGAGGTGTATTAAAAAAAACATGGAATCTGCACAACCTGCGTTGTGTGAAAGACTTAGTGTAAAGGTTGGAGATCCATTTGCAAACGATATTCTTCATAACAATGGAATTGGTGACAGGCTCAGTTGCGAAGAAAACAACAAGTGAAAAGTATGCCAGGAAAACGAGAGTAAACGGAACATCCATTAACACTTCTGTCGGAATATTTACGCTCGAATTACAATGTCCTTAGTCAAAGTTTGAGGATGGCTGCTTGTCAATCCAGAACCGAACAGAGGGTATAGGAGAACGGATCTCATCAATGCTGTTTAAAAAATAATGGTGACAAACACTGAGGCCTTTCCGGTCCCCCAGATTTAAATTATCGACCAATACTGATATAATTGAGCTACTCGTAAGAGTGGTAGAAAAATGCCTTGAAGGATGAAAATATGATCGGGGATAGGACTTCTGATTTCGCAAACTATGTTTAGTAGGTGGGGTGAGATTCGACAAACGGAAATCCGCTGCTCCCAGCCTCGACCACGAGACGAATTTTTGTTAGGATTTTTCTCGGGGCGCAAGGGAAGCACAAGCAATAGTCCAGACACAGCAATGTCTGCATGACACCGAAACACGGCGATTACACTTGTGCCGGGTCATGTAGGTGGCCCTGCTATTCACCCCGGGTGCGGAACGATATTCGAAACAATTCATGTTAGTATCTGTTTGTGTGGGCGATAAAAATATTTTCACAAAAATGTGAAAAATGGATTGATTGATATCATTATGAGATTGTTCTTCGGTTTGGATTTGCTAGAGCTAGTGTCATTATTCGTGATGTTATGCGACATTACGGTTTTACATTTTCTCAAGAACCACAATCTAGATATTTCACTACAATATTTTCATGCAGCAAATGCTTTGGGACTGTTTTGTACTAGGCTGCATGAATCGATAAGACGGCGGCTGGAACTGAACGCAAATCAGTTTTAGCCCTCAAAGTATCAAACAAGCCTGGTGAAAACTGATAAATGCTATACGATCTGGAAGAAGAAAAAAATCAGACGTGCTTATGAGCAAAGTGCTCATATCCTTTCAAATACAAGAGTATTACTTCTCTATTATTCTAGAACTGTGTTTTCGTTTCTTCATCTCGGTGTCACATGAGTAAATTCACATACAAACTTCATCGTTTGTGAATGTAATTTAGCCCGACAGTTTGTGGTACGAAATCATCCGTCTTAAAGGTGGTAGTACTCTAAACATACAAGGAACATCAATGTCCATATTTTTTTAATGAAACCTCAGTCACTCCTGTACATATTGTATTTCATACGGGTCTGAATCCAGATAAGGTGTCCAAAAAATAAAAGTACAATAATATTTGTAAACAAGCGAAGGTTAAATGGTTCGTTTTGGGCGAACTACTGCCAGGTTGCTCATACCAAGACCATTCAAATATTCTTGCATTAAAATCGATTTATTTGGGATATGCCGCAGTTCATCTGGTTATCAGACTATTCTCCTTTTAGGAGTACCACAACAATGCTTATGTCTCAATCTGTTTCCGCTCAATGTTTTGACGAACAACTAGCGGTTTGTCTAAATGCAACGCCATTATACCTCTTCCCGTCAAGCTTTCGTCGAAACCAGCAATTCTTTATCGAAGCTCACAATTCAAGTTCAACTGAAGCAGTTGTAACTTCAAGTGAATCCACCCATTGCATTATACCGGGAATCCCACAAAGTTCTTCGGACATCATACGTTTTTTTATTGAACCGGGTTTATCACAAAGCCCATCGAGTCGGAATAAACTGCTTCTCCGTCAACAAACAAAAGTAATTTGGGATCACCGAGACATGATATACCGGGTTATTCATCAAGCCGGAAAAACACCTCTGAGTAGAAATCTCAGCTGCGGTTCATTTGTACCTTTAACGGCCAACAAAACTGTGTCAAATGGCAAAGCGCGATCCTCCCCTGAATGGTCAGTGTATTTGGTGTGGAAAGCTGACCGCTTCGTGTTGACCGCTCGCTGTTCGTGAAAAACAAGTCAAAACTGCAACGCATTGCAAGCAACGGTAACAAAGCACATCTAATTTGACTAGACGCGTCAGATCTGAGTGTTCGAGAAACATGCAAAGAATGTAAGCATCCCAATCCGCTAAAGATGAAACCGGCCACTCCAACCGTGACAAAATGCCAATAGTGTTTTCTTCAAACCGGATCAGTTAAGAGTAGAACAAATGCGTTTCTTGCATAGTAAACACCCGGTAAGTTTCATCAGGGCGAGGTCTGATTATTTGTTTCCCAGGAACGGTATCCACCTGATATTTTCTCGAGTGAGTTTCAGACGCAAACAAACCACCCCGGTTTATCGAGTGAGAAAGTATGTCACATCAAGATGGATCGATAAACAGGTCGCCATGCTCAGGTGTGAATGTTTATATGATTTATTGCGTGATCCAGGCCTTCAATAAACCATTATGTGAATTCCATTAAAGCCGAAGTTTTGTCGAAGTTCACCCCTTCTTTCGGATGAAGTCCAATTGCCTAATAATTTGTGGCATTGGAAGCCAAACTTGATAAGCTGCTTAAAATTTGACACTTGTATACAGCGATGGAATCAAATGTAATCCGTCAACCTATAAAGAATACACCTAAACTCATTAATTGGCTAGCAGAAATTACGTATCCCCACTGTCACTACCGGATTGGTATCCGTATTTTATCTACAACAGCAAGGATAATCATAGACACCCACAGCTTCATCTTTGATTGAACAACTTGTTCGCGTGGCTTATAGTCCATGTGAATTCATTTCTCATCCAGGTCGCATTTTTCCACGGACTGCTTACATTCGCTCCTAAGAGATACTAAAGGCGACAAGAATGAACAAAATTTAATATGAACACATTATAATACCGGTTAAAATGTAGTGAGTGCTTCAGGAAAAATTTAGCTAAAATAAGTAGCGCATTCGAGTAATGAATACTTCATCATGAATCACCAATCACTCATCACTTTTTGTGGTTCTCGGTATAATGCGACCGGTGAAGTCCATTGAAGTTACAAGGGATTCGCATGAAGTCGCAAACGTAAAGTGGTATTGGTTTCCAGTTTGGGGGGTCATCTACTTAAGCTGGCACCGTAATTGACCTGCTCGGTTTGAAAGTAACCAACGGCAGTCACTGTGTTCATGACCATCAAGAAATTAGGGCAATAAAGCTAAAGTGATCGATTGTGAAGCCAAGAAATGTCATTCCAAGTCGCATCTGGTTCATCGTTGACCACTAGGAGCAGCCAAGCACTGACAACGTGAATCCCATAGTTACTTTCCTAGTATGCCCTATAGAATGTAGTAACCATGGTCACATGCAACAGGTAGATGCATATAAAAATCCTTGGTATGCTTCATCACCTGTCCTTTAGACGGTTTCATTACCAAATCAGTTTCGCAATCGATCTCAGCCCCCCCCCTTCCTTCATTCTACACATCTTGTCTCAACTGCAGTGGCGTCAAAAAATACTTCGTCCTAACTACTAATCCACAGCTAGTGCAAGAAATTAAGTTCCCTGTTAGATTCTCACTGATGCTAGCTCCTTCCCAACCATTAATACAAGTACTGAAACACGCATTCAAATTATCAGTGTAAAAGTGTCCCGAATCTCGGATTTTTAAATTTCTCAGAACCCACGACTATTGAAGTAGGCTATGTACAGGCGTTCAAAACTCCAGCTCCATTATCCGATTGACGTCCCCATCAAACCCGTCAGTGAAGTTTAACTTACACCTCTCTGGGGACCCTGAGGCTGGCATTGGTTGATGTTGTTGTTGGCTGGCGTCAGTGTGGCTCCCAGTGAGAGAGCTGAAGCCGCGCTCCTGGACTGGTTCCCAGTCGACAGTAGGTTGTGCGCAGTGAGACTTAAAGGTTCATGCAAAGTAAACAGCCGACACCCCGACAGAAGAAACCTGTTTGTCGTGTCGGCGTACGCCCCGACAGACTGCAGCCCAGATGCAGTAAAAGATGAAGTTTATCACAACCTACACGACCTCTTACGTAAAGCGAGTCGGGCTGATATCGTCATTTTAGCAGGAGATATGAATGCTAGAGAAGCCGACTGACTTCGAGTGAAACGCACCTTGGTGGTCCTTTCGGAATAGATTCCTGTCGCGCGGAAAATGGGAAACGGCTGTTTGTACGAACTTCAGACACTTCAACTGCCGGTACACCACCTGGCGTCCT